GTCTAGCACTTCCATACGTCGAGAACGTCTCACAGGCCGCCAGGTTCCTTCTCACACAGTTTGGACTCTATGTTGCACGCAGACCGGAGGCAATCATAATGCACCAGGCCACGAGTCCGAAAGGCCATCTATCATGACACGAGATATATGAAGTCGTTTACCTGATGTGGTACAGTTCTAGACGGAGGCACTGTGAGCGAGCTGTGAGATACCTGAATCACGGTTATCTGAATCACAATCGACTGGCAAACAAAATGACCTCCGTTCTCCATATAATGCACTGAGAAGTTACCGGGTCAGCGTAATAAGCCATGCGGGAAGCGCACGGACGTGCACTGTTGCCAGTGCAACTGCCGATGAACCAAACAACGGAGCGACTATCATACCTGTGGCAGCTTGCTCCCATAGTCGCCAGTGGGGCCACTTACCCATGCTCTCCTTGGTCCGTCTAGTATACCTGTCAATTACTCCTTGTACGCGTGTGACGACCTTTGGGGAGGGTTCTGCGCAATCCCTCAGGCAGCCAGGGCAAATTCGGGTCGCCTCCCCACTACACATGAGTCGTGACCCATAGTGGAATTTGGCAGCCTCTTGGGAGGATTAAAACAACCTATTTAGGGATAACACTGCATAACCCCTAACTGGGGTAGGTGGGTAGGAAATGGGCACCGGAACGTTGCTCTCAGATAGCTGACTGTGGCCTGTGGACAAAAAAATGCGCTCGCAGAGCTGCGCGAATCCCCGACCCCGTCGAAAAACAACTAACAACAAACCCATATCATCGTGTATCCACACGTACTGCAGAGTGACAATTCACTCTACCAACCTGAAATGCTTACTCTCTTTTAGACAATCCAATGGCCAATATCCTGAAAGGAGAACGACTCTAGTAGACTTGAAACTGTTCCGCCACGGTGTATATAATGTAATTCTCATTGGGACTGGTTTCTCTGAACGAAAACAACTGGAGATGAGTGTTGGATTCATATTCATCCGGAGCGCGTGCCCAAAGGCAGAATGACATGACCTCATCAACAACGGTGTCATGAGATGGCTGTTCTGACTCCCACGTGGAATCAGCGACCGTCTCATGATCATGAGGCTGTCACGCCGCGTACGTAAACTCGCCACCATCATCAGCGCCCGAACCCCTCTGTTGAAAGACGCCAACGCCGCCAGGGGTAAATACCACGAGGACCAGCACACCCTATTCGCGACGATGCTGAAGGCGCACAAACTGGTTACTCTTGGTGATTTCAAGGCCCCTTTCGGTACACACCACTTCACATGGTAAGAGGTGTTAGGTTCTTGTGGAATCAACAACTGCAACGGCGACGACCTCCTCTCGCAGGCTTTTACAGAACATAATCTGCTCCTCACTAACAGGTACTTTAGTCCTCGAAACTGGACGAAGGCAATTTGAATGTACCCTCGTCCGAGTCACTGGCAACTGATGGATTACGTCCTCACCACGAGGCGAGGTCAGCGCGATGTGCCAGTGGGAGAGGCGATGTGTGACGAAAAATGCTGGACCGACCACCGCCTGCCATATCGCAGATGGGGTTTTGACTGTAACTCCGGAAGCGTTAACCATGTAAACGAACACGAGGTAAGTTCAAAGGGGCATTATTGGATACGGTTAGTCACCGAGTAGATTTAATCACCTACACAAAGCTCAAACCTAAACAAATGCAAATTCTGGGAGAAAACGCCAACCTTGAGATCAGTGGGAGGGAATTCCTGGATGCTGCCGCTCTGGAATCCTCGGTCGCGCACAATGACAGTATCAAGGTTAGTATGATGACATGGACGAAGAAATTCGACACCTGTTGCCTGAGAAAGCAGTACGCACACGATCTATGTCAACAGCAGAATTGAGGTCAGTAAGGCCGCTTGGTTCCGATGCCGAAGCCTACTGCAGAAGGGACCGGGAGATGTATAGTGATTGGCTAACTAGTGAGACATAAAAACTTCAAAGGCAGGCCGCACGCGGTGGAATGAAGAATTTCTTTACGGTCACCACGGCAGTCTCCGACCCTAAGCCAAAGGAACCCCGCCACTGCTCAGCTGACACGGAGAGGTCCTGCTAGCGGATAAGTCGCGGATTCCAGAGCGCTGAGCATAGCGCTTTGTGAGATTTTCCTTAACCAACTATACATAATCTGCAAGGAATCTACCAGCCGACTTCCTCAGTCAGGCACCAGAGCCAAACTTGATCGCCAAAATTCCTTACCGGAGACGAACAAGACAGCGCAAAACTTGTCCAGCAGGAAACCACTGGAGGTCTAGCCAAATCCATGTAAAATTTATAAATGCTGTGAATCACGGACAGGCTTACTTCACTGTTTCAGGGCAAGTTGTGCCAAGGACAAATCCACCAAAGCTTCTGTGGTGCCAGCATCCTGCACATATACAAAAGTACGGGGAAAAAGTCAATCGTGTGACAACTAGGGAGCCATCTTCCTCCTTAACAGTGCAGGCAAAACCTCAGCCTCTGTCCTACTCAATCGCTTGAACACTTGTTTTGGGCAGGGTCTTCTTTGGGAAACAAAATACGTGTTGCGGGGTCATCTCGGAACCACCGACCTCATCTTCACAGCCCTCAAATTCGGTAGCCACACGATGCTGAGGCACACACAATAACGTTGGTTTAGCGACTGCCGAAGCGAAAAATAGTGTCAATACAGAAATACCCTGCATGTAACTTCAGTGATCTGAGAAGAACTCCAACAGAATCGCCAGACGCAGTGTACTGTCGTAACGGCTAGAGCAGCCGTCTTCAGCGTCATGCGAAAATGGTGTTGTGAGGAGAGACGGGGAGGCTCGCAAGACTCGGATGCCGCGGACCAATGACGCGAGTTCCCAACCCCAGCCATTGCGCCCACACTGTGAGACGACATTAAGGGCATGGAATGGCCTCGTTGATCATCCCTTGACCCCCTATTACGTTATTAGGACCGACTCGTCTTCCACCTCACAAAACACCACCACTACCACTAATACCGTCAGTGAGGGCAATCCTCCCACCCTGCCCTCCATCACCACCACCTCCCCTTCCGCCAGCATTGTGGACTTGATTTCAACCTGTCCCCTTCGCGAACGTATCTTCGAGTTATTCAGTGGCCTGCCCGGTCACTTTTGAATTCATCGCACTGCGGACGGTGTGCCACTATCTGGGACCCCGACATGCGCCTGTCACAAGCACCTCAACTGCTCACACTATCCCAAGACTTGCGGGAGTCACATGCTTTTTAGGCCCTACATACACGCACGAAAATCCCCAGTAAAACAACACAGTCCAGTGCCTCTCATAAAACCTCGCCCTGCCTGTACAAACAAACCCACTTGGATCTACTGATTCCCACGCGAATGCACAACAACTACAATGGTCGCAGCACACAACTCTGATGCAAAACACCTACGATCAAATTTGTCAACAGCTGTGCAACAAGTGAAACGCCGTATGTGAGAGCGTGCATATCTCGCACACGTGAGAAGCATGTCATTTGGCGTAGGTTGGAGGCCGTGTGTGGCACACACAGACGCTTTGTTTTACTTTGTCGATCACTGGATATGATTCTCACCTCCGGGTTGGCATGATTCGGGCATGCCGCTGGAGTATGGCAAAGGGAAGAGAAAGAGTGAGGCCTATCCTGTTGAATCCCTTCAAGAGGCATGTCAGCGCATTCCCCGCCATCCTAACTCTGGAGTCGTGGTTTGCTTTGTTGCCACCTGACATAGTAACTTGGCCCTCATCGGGGCTCGGGGTCAGCCTGCAATGGTTCCTTCCTAATGTGTCGATTGGGATATTATCCCCAAGATGAACCCCGATACCCATCCTTAAATGCAGCATGATACATGTATGGCAGGGAACAGATCGTGTATGGCACAGGTAGACAACCTTTTAGCTTTACCAAGCTGTACGTACATATCAAACTCCAGTGACCCTGACTCTGTCCTGTCGTCGGAGCGCGCTGGGTGAGGGAGGAGAGATCGCAGTAGATGCGGTAAAAGTAACCACTACTGGGCTCTCCCCGCGAGGGCGAGACTGACACCGTCGTTCCCGGCAGTCGGTTGTATTACATGCACTCACGACTCAGAGGATGCGGAATCGCTGAATCTTATTTTTTTTAGCTTAGGCACCTTTTGCTATAAGATTCTGCATTAATGTTTTTCGTCTTATCTTTGGGAACGACGAGTCACATCTTTCTCTTCATCACCCTATACGAAATAAAGGTTCGATCGCAAATGATACGGGGACTCTTCCACGTCACAGACACAACCGAAGTGGGCAAGTGGGCTTTGCGTGTGCCCAGCTGCTCTCTGGGTTTCCAAACTAATCGGCGCGTACACTTACGAGTTACTAATAAACTAAAGGTTACCCACAAACTTAAACAACCGGAAAATTACATTGTCAGACGACACTAGATGGTCGAAATCCATATTTTCATTTGCGGTTGTTCCATCAAGCGAGCTGGCACGGTGCTTCCGTCCTGACCCCTGAGGCGAGCATGGCGTTGGCTTAGTGACCATCATATAATGATTGTGCGACAAGCCTCGGTAAAGTTACATATGACAGTTTTAGCTGAGAATTAAAGAGAGCTTTGAAGAAACTCCATAAGTGCGCAGAGGTAAACTTGACCGGCTGAGAACACGAGATGGAAACGTTCGATCAGCTTGCAGGTCACACCCTCCCCAATATTGATCTCACTTAGCAGCGCGGTGCTTACAGCCCTCTCGTGCACGGGGATCGAGTATGCACACATCAGCGCTTTGAGTGTTGGCGACCGGCGTACTGCGTCTTGTATAAACTGATTCCTTGCGGACGAGAACGTTCGACTTAGCTTCCATTGCTTTCAAATACCTTCTTCTGTCCCTGCCGTGCCTCAAACTTATCCTATTTGAATGGTTGGTTTGGTCCAGATCTGCTGACTTTTTGTTCCTGCCATTATCTTCGAGTCTACCGTCACTGGCTTCAGCAGCTGCCGTCTTCCCTACTGCCTTCAGCCATAAAAAGCCCAGTTTGCTCTTTCGCGGAGGCATAGAACTCATGTCACTCCTTGCCTACCTACTGAATCCGCCAAACCCTGAAACCCTAGAGGGGATTGAGCCTAGAGGCGGCCTGCTAGGATGCATGCTTAATGGATTCTGCGTGCGAGGGTGCATGCCTGTGGCAGGCAACTAGCGCAAAACGATCTAGAAAGACGACTTTTCTGCCGAGGCAGTCGGTTCCACACGCTGTGCCTTAGTCGGTCAATGGCCTGTGGCAGAGCAAAAGCAACCCTCCTTTGCGGTGAAGCATATGGAGTGAGTCACAAGCACGCGCATACAATGTGATGGCATAGTATTTCGGTTTGCAAAAGCACATTCGCGTGTGCGAAACAAATGAGGATTAACTGCCAAGGGCGTGGGACGCCAACATTTCATCCCACACAGCCATTAGGCTGGCATGGGAAATATTTGCCTGGTTCTGCGGATTTTTAACAATGCAAATTTCCATTTGCTCACTCCCAGGTGTCTGTGTGAAATTCCCAAGCTTACAATCTTTATGGTCAGACTAATTGTGCTTTGAACAACCGAAGGAATCCTAACGGCAGGCCACACAAAGACTTCTAGGTCTTAGGAAATTCATAAGCAATGTTTAGGCTTGGAGACCAGGTCAGTTAACATAGAAGTCTACGGGCATTTGGTAAATTGCGAAAGAAAAAACAATCCTTCACCTACAAAGTGAGCTGGCATAAGAGGAGATCGGCAATAACAAAGGATGTCTAAACAAAACAGAGGAAAACACTTTTAGTATTGAGTCAAAGCATCTTTGGAAGCTTGACCAAACACGTATCTAAGATAAGCGTTGTCACTGTCGACAACTGATTGATTAATGAAGAAGGAGACTGATCGAGCAGGTGATCTGGGCTTTCGAATGCGTGCAAGCGTCCATCGTCAGCGATAACAGTGGCAACGCAACAAGTGGCAGTGATAGGTCACTTTGACCAGTCAACGGCCAGTGCCTCAAGCTTGGAAATGACTGCGCAAGTGTCTGCATGCGGGCGCTTGTCCAATTCACTAGCTGACTGCGTTCTTCCCAGAGGCCGAAGCTACCCGATATTCTAAACTATAATAAACGGACATGCCCTTTGTCCTTTTAGCCGCAAGCCTAATGCCAGTGCATTTTGCCGAGTCGCAAGGACTTGGAAAGACGGACAGATGGCATTGTGATAAAACGATATTCAAAAATGCCAGCATAAAGAATACGCAAAAATGGCTCTGGAATCGGAATGATACGATTAGTCTTGACTTTGGGACAAAGAAACCTGAGTTGTAGGTGTTTCGCTATGCAGATTTTTCTTGATTGGAAACATTTGAAATTGTGAATTCCAGGCGCTGTTTCTTATCCCACCTACTTTACTTGTACTTGAAAAGATTGTAATCATGCCCGATCTAGTCGACTTCATTGAGGTCACGGACATATACTCTCTACGCGCGATGCAGCGGTGAATTCGGTGTGCCGGTACCTATCTCTTCTCTAATGATGTAGACCGAATCCCATGGGTTCATAAGTCCTATCGATGCACTGGTGAAATATCTAGTCATATTTTGAACTGATCCTTTTTTCAAGGCCTCATGTGCGATTGCGATATCAGGTTTTAGGCGCCAACACTGAAATCATGTGGCGATGGGAGAAGAAAATGTCCTAAGCACTGCAGCCGAGTTTCTTGGGTGACCCGAAATGACCTCGCGATTTTGTCGCAGCGAGTTCGGTCTGCCGCGTCCGAGACGAAGTAGGTGTACTTTACCCGAAGGATAGGTGGTCAAAAGGTGCCCAGTTTTAACTTGTCTTCCACATGCTCATTCCAGCAATCACAATTGTAACGGAGGACTGAGCGGAAGGACGGCAGATAAAAGCGAATCCTCCCAGTAGTTAAGACCTGGAGATGAGTCAGTGGCACCTTATAATGCTTGGAAAACACAATGAGGAGCGTTCATTTGGACATTAATGTCCTCTTTACCCTCTCTGCTTGGTATCAAAACTGATTCAGTGTTATTTAAAACTTTCTATCCATTCAAACAGACGGCCGTTAATTATGACGCGTGCTCTCTTCTGGCCATAGGTACGAGTAGATTACAGTATGGTTTCTTCTGAGCCGTCCACACACTAAATACACTGGTAACACTGGTAGAGGGGTGCCTTGTGGTTCAAATTCGAGCCCAGAAAGCAGCATCACAGCGGCTAGTAGTATTGGCAGGAAGACTTTAACAGCGAAGACAAGTGACACCGAAGTGGTTACTTCTGGCTTATTAGCCGTCATCAGGCAGTCATACTCAATCCCAGGTTCTTTTTGCAGCCCCCGAGGCTCAAGCTCGCGACCTTTTGGCTAGAAGTCCAGTGCTCTAACCAATGAACTACGTACTCGTTGTCCTGTCAGTTGCTATTGGGAACGCAATGGTAGAGGAGCGATCAACGGTCGCGTAAAGGGACACACCCGTCACGCTTCGTGTACTCAGTTGTAACTGACAGTACAACGAGCCCGTGGATCATTGACGGAAGCAGTCGCGGATATAGCCGATGAATGCACAGGTGCCACAGTAGCTAGAGGATACTGTTGTCGCACAACCACATGTCTATCATAATTAACAGCTTCCGTGTTTATTGCCGGGGGTCCTACTTGGTGCGAAGATTGCTTGCTCGTCCGCTTGCGAGTTGGCAAGTGTCGTGGATTCTGGCAACGGCTCCTGTACGTCAAGAACGTCTCGAAAACCGTCACCCGCCTTCTCACACCACTTGGAATTGAAACAGAACAGTGACGAGAAGCAACTATCAGGCATCAATTAATGGGCCTAATGACCTACTGCCATGTCAGGAAACGTCTGGAGTCGTTTGCTTTCTGTGGTGCAGTTTGGGACAGACTCAATACGTCGGAGAAACTGGCGGACTGTTCTGGCCAGGGATAGCCAAGCATGTAGCAGCAGTGGTGAAGAAGGACGTCAGTTCTCAGATCGTGGCCCATTCGATGGGACCCTGTCGCACATTTAAATTCGACCAGGTCGAAAATCTTGCAAGAGATAACAACCGCGTGAGCCACGAGCTGTTTCCATGATGGTTCTTCAGCCCGCAGTCGATTAATAAGCCCAATGACCTTCACC